CACACCTCGCTTTTCAGACTGATGAGGTTTGTAAAAATCGACGTGTTTCAGAAATGCGGGGCATAGAGGAGAAACAATAATGTACAGTATGTGGAAAATAATGTGTTTTTTTAAGCTTAAACCGCATAAACAAATTTCATTACACCAAATACACAAAATAATGTTCTTTTTAGCAACATCATATGACCCCTATAACCACAAACGCTCAATTTCCGGCCCTGTGACGTGTTTTCGGTCAGATTTAGTGTGTACTCAGCATCAGTGTTGTGCAACAGGGTTATTCAGGCACATTTACTGTGCTGTTGTCCCGACCTGCAGCTCGATGCCAGTAAGACATCACAGTTACTGGAGCGGCACAAAGCCAGTGAACATGTTATTAGTGCTGAAATGTGGCCTTCAGAAGCCAGCAGTGGTGTGTTCACAATCCCACAGCTGCGTTCTTACAAGCCCTCGGGCGCAGAACTGCCAACCGAACAACTCATCAGAGACGATATCTGACGCGCTGCAACTGACATGAGGAGTGCTGCGCTCTACACTGACACTGCAAACCATACCTGGCATGCTCACAGAGCAACAAAACGGATGCATTCATCAGTGCATATGCAGTGAATCCTAAAGCATTCCTGTAGCTCAAACAGCAGAATTATGGCAAAAGCCAAGGTCATGGGTTCGATTCCCAAGGAATGTATGAACTGATAAAATGCAGACCTTTAATGCAATATCAAAGTATTAATATGCAATAGTAAAATATAAAAGTCACTTCGAATAAAAGTGTCTGACAAATGCATAAATGAAACAAAATCATGTTTGTAAATGAATACTTACAGAAACTCAGCTGTCGACTTTCACAGAAATCACTGTACTGACTGGAATCCATGTTTCTGGTCATCCTCTCAATTCTCTGTATAAAAAAATGAAAAGTAACTATTATACTTAATATCATGCGTCAACATCATAAAACACATCTCAAGAAAATTATGAACAATGCAAGCCCACTATTGTTTTTGAAATGTCTCTTCTGCTCACCAAGGCTGCATATAAATGATAAAAAAAATCAGTAATATTGTGAAATATTATTACAATTTAAAACAGCTCTTTTCCATTTTAATATATTTTAAAATGTAATTTATTCCTGTGATGCAAAGCTGAATTTTCAGCATCATTACTCCAGTCTTCAGTGTCACATGATCCTTCAGAAATCATTCTAATATGCTGATTTGCTGCTCAAGAAACATTTCTGATTATTATCAATGTAGAAAACAGTTGGGCTGCTTCATATTTTTGTGCAAACTGCCATCATTTTTATTTTTCAGGATTCTTTGATGAATAAAAAGTTGAAAGGAACGGCAATTATTTGAAATAGAAACCTTTTGCAACATTATAAATGTCTTTACTTTCACCTTTGAGCAATTTAATGCATCCTTGCTGAACAAAAGTAATTTCTTTCAAAAAAATTTGGTAATAGTTATATTTTTTGAATCCCATAATAATGCCTTCAGTGAATATACTGCTATATCTACGGAGCTCCTGTGTGACGAAACGGTTTAAACCGCAGTTTTATCAGCTACTCTGAGGATTCAACAAGACGACGGAAGTCATTATTTCCTCGTTTTACGCCCTACGATGAAATGGCATAACATAACAAGAGAAGGACCATCTGTGTAAACTTTAAGAGAGCCGTGCGCAGTAATGAACCCTCTTAATAGCAACCCAACAGGTCTGACTCGGATTTACAGCAGAGCGTGTTAAGTTGCAGGTCAGAACCTATAATTAGACGTTTCCTCATCCTGGACCAATTTCATACCTTCACATAACAGTCAATTTGAGCTCTCCACCAGGCTGTGTGTCATAAAACATAAAGGCTCAAGGTTTACGACTGCTTTTTTTCCTCCTCGTGCCGCAGAGGATCTGTTTTACGGTCTACAGAGAGCCGCGTCTCCGAGAAGCACCGGGTTCGAGGTTGAGGACAGTCTGATGTGACGCTCGCCTGGATCGCTTACAGGCCACCCAAACCAACCGGAGTCTTTTTATTTAGTTAGCTGGCAGTCATAGGAAATTCCATCTTTGAAAATACATATTAATGATGCCGAGCGCCTGATCGTTACACGGCGCTGGAACTGCGATTTCTATTAGCGTCGTTAAGAGCCGAACGGAGGTCTCGTTTTGCACTCGGAGGGGGAATTCGCAGCAGTCTCGGTGTCTGGGTCCCGCTCCAAATTGGGCCGCGAGCGATACGAGACTGGAGCCGCTGCACTTTTAAATAACTCTTGTCAAGCGGCTGGCCTGAGACAGGAGAAATGTTTTGACTGTGGCTTATTGACTGAAAAGAGCAGCGGGGGGATTCGATGTTTGAATACTATGTTTAGCCGCTGATTAAATCAAAACGTTGACCCACCTGCTAATAGCCAAATTATACCCACAACTGACGCGGCGGCTGTATAGGAGGACGTTGGCAAATATTTGATTTGGCCGCTGGCGGCTTTCATTTCGTGCCAGTGTGGTCTGGATAAAGGGAATCTCAATTTGTACCACTGCAAGCGATGAGATTTCCATAGGCCGAGGCCCAAGATATATTTTGGATATCTAGTGTAGTGCTGTGTATTTCAATGCGTGTCACTCGGTGATTAACAGCCCGAGGCAGGCTAGAATTAAATTTGTGGGGCATTTCATTCAGACGCAAGGCTAAGTTTAGACGATCAAACGCGGATGGGTTTAAAGCGCCTCTGTTTTTGTGTGAAAGAGAGTCAGTGTTGTAGATACGAGGCTTTGGGAGAGATTTAAATGAGCCGTAACATCACTCTCATGTTGAAGAGACTCCTGATGATACTCACATTTTGAATTTCAGTCATCACTGAAAGAGCAAATGAGAAAACAAATCCACTAGCAACTTCCTGAACCTATTAAGGGTCACAATCATTGTGATAAAACTAGTGCTGTCAAACGATTAATCGCGATTAATCGCATCCAAAATAAAAGTTTTTGTTTACATAATATATGTGTGTATACTGTGTATATTTATTATGTAGATATAAATACAAACACATGCATGTATTTATTTAGGAAAAATAAGTTATGTTTATACATTATATTTATATATAATATAAAATATACGAATATAAATATATAAATGTATATACAAGTAAATATTTTTATATTATAATATATACAGTATGTGTGTGTATATATATATACATAATAAATATACACAGTATACACACATATATTATGTAAACAAAAACTTTTATTTTGGATGCGATTAATCGTTTGACAGCACTAGATAAAACATATGTAGTTCATGTTCTGCACAAAAATTTTAAAATGCCAAAAACTTTTTACAAAATTACAAAAATGGCATACTCGGTCTGAGAACAGTTTACATTAACTTTGTCTTAAATGTGAACACTGAACAAACCATTTCAGGTCAGGCAGTGCTTCAGGTTCACTTTCACTTCACATGCATGCAATTTCCAATATTTTTGAGCATTACATGCTACCATATATTAATTATAATGGTAACATGCAAAGATGCTGAAGACTTATTTAATT